AATTTCTCTGGTACAATTTTGATACTTTTTTAATACGTCGGTAGTTCCAGTGTTAAATGTGACGTCCTTCTGTGTAAACAAAATATTAACTACTCCTTTGACAAGCATGTAAATTGGTAAAAGCATTTCTGACACTTCTACAATTATAATGTTACTTACTTCTGATGTCTAGTGCTTCTTAAATGAATTATTAATCATCTCTTTGACAAGCACGTAAAGCATGACAAGCATGAAATCACTTTTTGCATTGAGATGATGCTCCTAAGTAAGATTCATTAATTTTTGAATGTAAGTATGTAGAAGATGCATGAACACATGCTTTTATTAACAATTTCTTTAATTATTACGTTTAATGATTAATTGGAGACAGTATGTAACTGTTTGAATTTTACACTACACACGATCTGCCATTTCAGTCAGATATAAAACAGGATTTAACATTGCTAACCAAAAAACACTATTAACCGTTCGAAGAACAATAAAAATCAAGACTTCCATATACAAATCCCTCTGAAATAGGATCCTAAAAACTCTTCTTACAATATATCCAGCAAAAGCATCTATTTTATAAATCGTACGATTTGGACTAGGCTATTAATCACAATCAAGAACGAAACACATCACCGAAGATAAAACTGAGACCGAAACTGGGCTGTAAGCGTGTCGTGTGAAAAGAAGGGGTTGGATATAAAGAGTGTAGAGGCAGGTAACGAGAGGAGAGTGGTATAAAAATGTAAGCGGGAAACGAGTGGATGTTATAGGGACGGTACGTGATGAACATGTAAGAAAACATGAAAAAAAGAAAACGGGCAGAATGACCAGAGGCGAGTGAACGTCTGCCACTTGACTTTAGGCTGACAAGTAACTCGTGGCCAGGCGGAAGTGGCCTGGACGAAGACAAAGAGCAGCGCCGAAGAAGCACGCAGGACGAAGATAGCAAGACACGGAGGTCTTTCTGAAAATAGCAACGTTACGTGCGACGGCAATGTCGTTGAAACTCGCGGGGTAGTTTTTCAAAGGTCGAAATCGAGCACCGACATTCGGGCGCGTCCAAGCGAAAACTGTGTTCGATGGGACGCACGTGATCGTCACAAGTGGAATCTCTATTTTTTTCTTCTTTTTTTTTCTATTTTCGCCAGCAAAACATTTTTTTATCGCGCCGATAAAACTGGCTTCCCTTTTTTTTTTTTTTTCCCTTCCTACGATTACACGGGTTAGTTGTAATCGTGCTTTTTGCGGGACACTTGTAGATTTCTATGCGAAACGTGGACGAAAACAGGGTATCTGCTTTATAAATATTTTCGAAGCACCAGCCAGTTTTATCGATCTCGTCGTGCAGCGTGATGCAAGTTTTTGCATAGCGTGTGCTTTCGGGGAAACGTTGCTTGGGAAAATGGAATTTTCAAGCTGACGATAGTTGGACCAGGTCAACTCTACGGTTGACATTCTTAAATGTAATGATCCGAAAGATGAAAATTGTATCGTTACGAGAGATACTGATTTAAAAAGATTTACGGTTTAAACGATTTTAATTCCCACAAATTTCTCTGTTTCTAGAACATTAGTTTCTCGAGCCAAATATATGTACACTCCTATACACGTTCAAGACCCTTTGCGAATCTGTGTAATCCAAGATAAGCTCGATACTCAACATCGAGTAACAGAACAATCTTCAGAGTACTCGTCCTCAAATCAAACGGAAAGATACAGGTACCGAATAATAGACAAATCTCTAGAGCCTATTCCAAAAATACTCATCCGCCAAATGGCACACAACAGAAGCTAAAGAACCTCGAAGAACAAATAGTTTGACAGCGTTCCTTACAATTCTACAAAAATCATTGCAATCTACTGACGATAAAGTCAAACTTTCACACGATCCTAACCTAAATTTATAGACGCTTCTCTCTCTTCCCGAAGAAGAGACTGAAGAAGAAAAAAAAAAAAAAAACTTGAAAGGGGTCCTCCACGGGGACCACTGTGATCTCGCTGGTACAGCGAAGCGTGCTTTGGCGAGAAGCAGCTTCCTGTCCTTGAATCAGCGGATTCCAAGGGGACGTGCTCGAGACTCACGTTTCTTCTCATCTCGCGTTGAATCCACAGCCGTGCTCACGTGCGGCTGTCCGATGGTCGCACGGTCGTTGCACCGTCGGGCCTCGTTGCGCCAATAGTCTCGGGAACGACGACGTGAACTGTGACAACAACGACGACGACGACGACGACGACGATGGAGACGAAGATGCCGTCGAGGGCGGCGGCGAAGACGACGATCGACCGCGACGATGTCGATACGGAACGAACGACGCGCGTAACGACACAGAATGGCGAGCACTCGGTGCAAACGCGAAGCACACGCGAGCGACGAGCATCGCCCCAGCTCGACACCAAGCTCACGACTGCCTCTCGAGGGCTTAGCTGGGGGTTGCTTCGACTCCGGTTCACCGGTTCAATCGCGGTAGCTGGGGGTGGCCTCGGAGGGGCTAGGGGTGCACCCGTTAACCCAACACACCACTGCCGTCTAGGGGCTGGCAAAGGAACGTGAAGATTCACCAGGGCGCAAGCTCCGTGCCACCGGCGCAGGGTGTCGCGAATAGTTTTAAGCGGCGCGGTTGTGTATAAAGTGAACTCGTAACGGGCGACGTTTTACGTGTTGCAAGAGAGTACTTTCCGTTGCAAAATTTTCTCTTTTAGTGAAGGTGGAGGTAGCGGAGGTGGCATTTTATACGATGATAGTTTAGAGAGAGTATGGGGACACATGTGCACTTTCGGTTACAAAGTTTTATACTTTCGCTGAGATGGGTATTGATACAGGTAACGTAGTGGTTGTTGGGAAGTTTTTCGCTAGAGAGTACCTTCGCGCTATTTATTGTTACAATGTTTCTGGAATGTCTGTTGTGTAAATCCAGTATAATCTGAATTGATTTGAATATTGACTGTCGAATTGTTTGGATATAAATGTATGTAATGATTTATCGAATTGTTGGGTTTCTCGTAAGAAGAATTATTAAATCGAAATGGATTTAACTCAGAACTTTTGCTTAACATACAGCTACGTATGTAACTGAATAATTATAATAAAATGTATATTGAAATGATTTTTGTCATCCTACAGTTTCAATAAAAAAAAAGCTAATCATTTAATTTTCTCAAATAAAAACAGTGGCACGTAGATATTATCGTACGACAAAAAGAACTTTTTTATATTCTTTTCCAGGAAAAAAATCTCTGCTCGTAATTTCAACGATTTGAAAAAAAAAAAGCAAAGAAGAAAACGAAGCAGAAATATATCTCTGTTTAATGGATGCCTGCGACTCGACCATTTGTACGCAGTCACTGTTAATTCAGCGACGCAGTGGAAACTACCGATCACGGTCAGACACGCGATTCCGGCATTAACTCTCTAAATTAAAACTATGACGCGATATCCAATGCGCGACAAACGAGAAAACATACTTTCGCGAACGAAATACCCCTTTTTATATTTTAATAAATGCACATTTAACATATCAAAGGCGTAAAAATCTTCGTAAGTCCAAAAGAATTTGTTGGAAGTTTCAAAATTATTAAGGAGAAATTATATTACGTCTGCCCACGACTCAATTATATTCAAAACAACTAATTATTAATTAAATTAGTTAAAATATCACCAACAAAAAGGAACGTAAAAAAATATTTTAAATACTAGCTCGACCATTGATTCGTGCTTAGTAGATTGCAGATTTTCATGCATTTATGTAATAATTTAGAAAAATATAAAATACAAGTTATATGTAAAAATTTAGTTCCTAGCCTTTGATCCTATCTAATTTTTTAACCTTAATTTTAGGCCAACCAAATAAAAAGTTTTTATATTGTTGTTCTAAAAAGATACTTAACGTATAATTAAAATGTAATTTTCTTCAAACTTTAGATAGATATTTTCCAACGTTAGAGAAATACGATACACGTGCATGTAATTACACTTATAAAAACCTAAATCTGCAATCTATTAATCAGTATCAAAATCTGCACCAAACTTGAAATCAATCTTATACGCCAGTCAACCATTTGCAGTATGAGCAATTCTCACCCTCTTTCACCACACTGTTCCAAGTGATTCGCTCATAATTACATTAACCGCAACGCGGTACACGTGGCGAGAAACTGATACTCAGGATCAATTAAGCCTCTATCGGCGTGCACGTTCAATTCCTCTAGTTCGGCATTTCTGACGTAAACTGGTGACCTTGAGCCAGTTTGGCGGACTCGAGGCGCGATATTATGTACGCGTGTCTAACGGCTCGAGGATGCTCGCCCTTATCGCATCGATCGTGCCAGAGAGAAGGAAAAGACGACAGGGGAGGCAACGGATCGCCCTTCCCTTCTTCGTTGAATGATTGTATGTCGTTTGTCGAAACCATTAGCGTCGGTTCCACCCCCTACCGTCTGTTTCCTTTGCTAAATGCGACGGTGGAACACCTACCTGCACACTCTGCCGCAGTGCATTGGGGTACTTGCACCCTCGCCTGGTGCGAAAGGGGATCAACAGGTTCGCGTGCCGGATGTGCTGGCATACCGGAAGTCATCAGCGAGGCGGCACGACGTGGTTTTCCACGGTCTCGTACGGTGGTAACGATCTGACCATCTTTTCTCTCTCTTTGCTCGAGACAGGCGGCCGTAAAAGTTAGTTCTCGACTGGATAAGCATCGACGATAGGGATAGATGTGAAATTTCTAGGAACTTCTACTACAGGATAATGAAAGAAGAAAAGTGAATTGGATCAGTTAGGGTGAAGGTCAAAGGTAAATCATATGGAAGAGAATTTAGGATAAGACAAGAGTGTTATTACCTAAGATGACATTGCGCTTAGTTAAATTGCAGACACGTTCGTTCTCGCTTCAGTGGAATACTAAAATAAGAAATTAGAACAAGGTGGTTAAATGCGAAATGAAGGTTAGTGAACGAATTAGTGTGGAATAAAATTGGATAAAGAGTACTATACCTAGAACGAAAAGGCTAAGTAAAATTGTAGGCCCATCTATTCTCACTTTTATCGACTCGTATTATACATAACTTGCGCGGATTTCAGTAAAGAATTGACGCGTACACGTACAGATATAGCTAGTTAGAGACGTTCTCCTGGGAAAAATTAGGGTCGATAAGAGGTAAGTACAAAATTGCCTAAGCTAAACGATACATCAACGATCCAAACACGTCGGGCGGAGCGTTTCGCGAGTCCGGCGTGAACAAATCTTGCTGTTATTGTTTCTTTTCTTTTTTTTTTTTTTTTTTCTGTGCTCCTTTCCTTTTCTATAACGAAACGCATGCAGATCCTTGTAAAAATATATCAACGCACGTTCACACATGTTCTAATGTGCTTTCTAGCTTCGATATTGGAACGAGTATTCGATATTCATTCGCATTAAACCTATGCGTATGCTCGATTTCGGTTTTTCTACTTCTTTTTTTTTTTTTTTTTTTTTTAATCTTGCGATTGAATTCAAAGCCGAAATGAGAAATTCCAATATCACAGAATTGAATTTCTCTGTTCCTCGCATCGTTATAATGGATGCGGGACAAAAAAAAAAATGAGTCGCAGACTGGACGAATGCTTCTTTTGAACAATTTTAGATTTCTTTTTTTTTCTTTTCGTTTTTTTTCTCTTTTTTTTCTTTTTTTTTTTTACTTTCGATTGCGATGCAGAAAAAAGTAATTGACAATTGTTTCATTGGGTCCACTTGATTCTCGCGGGCGATCGACTACGCTCGAAGCCACATTACGAAACTAAAGTTATGTACAAAATCACAATGTTTCTCTCGCGGATATTCGTTACACACGCTTGTCACAATTTTCTTCGCCGTAATCTCTTGGGATCCGCAAGGATTTCTTGTATAAATTACACGTGACTACACGCGAATGCTACCATATTCGCACATCTTGCAAACTACTTCTCTCTCATTATTCATCTTTGTTCGTTTCGCGTGTGCGTCGATAAGAGACCTAAATGACTCACGCTAAGTATAACCTAAAACTACTTTAGTCCGCGATCCACGCAAATAATGCTCTAATGTCATATTCGAGTACCGTGTAGGCGGGTGACGGCGTGTTAACACAAATGAATGCGACAGACGAGTGACGAAAGAAGAAACAAAAAAACTGATAACTACAAACACTGAACATCGTATGGTGTCCGATTCGGTGCATCGCTGTTAACGCTCGCGATTATTATTTAAAAGAAAAAGAGAGAGAGAAAGAAAAAAAGAAGAAACCGGATGACATAACTAACATTAGTACTGTCATGGATAAAATGTAAAAGAAAAGACGATGAATGCACCATCGCATGAACCTAGTGAGATTCTTTCTTCGGAGTCTCAATCAACGGAGAATAAATAAATCTCCTCTAAATGTTTCTCAGCTGAACAACGCTGTGATTATTTCACCGGATGTGTAAAGCATGGTGAAACATCAATCGCGAGATAATTCTATTCTCCCAACGCTCGACACTACCGCTTGTGGCTCGTTTTGCTTTTGGGGCTTTCCGTGGCGCTGTCGTTAGGCTCTCTTCTAGGTCGTAAAATGAAGTTCAGATTGTGCGCGGTATTCACGGCGTAGTAAACATTCGCCGAGTTTGGCAGAACCATCTCGCGATCGGGTAGAACCTGGGCCAGCGTGTACTGATCCGGGCTACCCTCTATCCCCAGCTTGAGCATCGCGTTTCGTATCACTTGCGGCGTTCTCTCGTTGTTCGACAGCATGATAGACTTGTACAGCACCACACCTTCAGTCTCAACGTTGTCGCTCTCCATGGTGACCTTGATTATGTAAAAATCCGGCGAGCTCTTGTGCGAGTGACTCGGACTGGACAGGCCGACGAGATTCGGGCTGTTTCCATTGGCGGTGATGGCAGTTGGCGGTATTAGCCGATTGTGCTGATTCGTCGCTCCGCTTCCTCCGCCGGAGCTCAACGACACGTCCAACGAAGGCAAAGACGAGCTGGAGGAAGAGCTGGACATTTGCGACGGCGAGGTACGCCGATCGAGAGAATTGTGCGGCGAGCTCGGCAGAGAATCCAGGTCGCAGTAAAACTGGGAGCTACTCGAGCTCGACGTAGAGGCTATCGAGTCGTTTTTACGGTGACCTTGATGACTCTGCAAGATAAGTCTGGGCTCAGGCTTCTCGCGGGGGACAGGTGATCGGGAACGAGTTCGTATTAACGAGATCAGGGAGAGCATGCTGACCTGCTTCTTCTTGCCGCGGTTACTCAGTGTGTTCCCAGGCGGTGGCGGCTCGATTTGACAGCTGAGCTTGTACGCTTCTCGATCGTCGAGCACCACCACGGAATGGAACCAACGATCGAACAACGGATCCGTGCTGAAGTTATACGCGTTCGCTGCCCCTTGAAGCAATCTTATTCTAGCGAGAACCTCGAATTCCTTTCGCCTCTTGTCGAAGTTGATCAGCCCCTCGGCTATCGTGTCTGGTATCGCGGTGTCTATCATAGTGAGATCCGTCAGAAATGTTCCCAAGTACGGTATCGTTCCATAGCTGATATTCTAAACAAAGAAAGATTGTAAATCGTTGGAGAGTCAACGTCTTGATCGATAAAGATTAAAGAATTGAAAGATATATCCCCATAAGTATTTGGACACTTTAAATTTTATCTCACAATCAGGCAATCGTATATTTGGTTTGACATTGATAAAAATCATATTTGACAATAATTAGTACAGATAAAAGATAGATGCTCGAGTGAAACAATTTCAAGTGTTTCCATTAAATTTTGAGATGTTAGGACCAAATATTTATGCACGCATATACAGCGTACATTAGAAATTATACTTACTCCCGCGTGAGTATTTTGCTTTTGAAATAACTTCTGCAAGTGTCTATCGCTCCTGCCGGCAGTGTCCGCAAATTTAGCTGTACCCTCTTTAATTAAAAGCTCTCGCTGCGTCCACGCGTTATTTTCCTCCGAGAAGATTCTCTCCAGCTCCCTGAAGAGCTCGTGCTTCTCCCTGGGCATGCACTGCCAACACTTCTCCAACCTGTACACCGGATTACTCTGCAGACCGGACACAATAGCCTTCAGGCTACTGAAATTCTTCAACACGCGCAGCTCTTGAGCAATGTCGATCCACGTCTCGAGGATCCTCGCACGTTCCTGAGGCTTCGTCGTCGGGTCCATCAGTATCGTGGATATTACTCGAAGCGACACGGCGTTGAACTGATTCACAGTGGCCAACACTGTGGCCGCGTCGTGGCTTCTCGAGCGATCCCTTCTGGACCAAACAGCACCAAGACATTGATGAGCTATAAGCTTCTTGAACACCTCGGCGTCCATTCGTGTCAACTGCTCGGCGAAATGCCGGTGCGGAACCTCGGGGAAACTGTAGTTCGCCCAGTGATCAACAATCGGATCCGGGGAACCACGCGGTAGTCGACCATTGTCGTACACCATACAAGAATCTGGGAAAAAAAGATAATTCGTGATGATAACATTCAATGAATCAGAGGGACGAGTTGTGTAGATGCATTTATCTAGAAGAATACTAAATATGTGATACGCGCATATTATAAACTTCCGGCTGACGTGTAATGCTAGGATCAATGTATGAAACGAGACATTTGTTGATACATAAAAGAACATAAAAATATGACAGATACGTAAGAATTATCATTCAAGCTTTAAGCAGCAAAATGTTAATGAAAAAGTAATAATTATATGTAATAATTATACTTGTAACATTTTTAATTCTCGAGAAGAAAGTTTATATGTTTATATTTTGAGATTATATATTTAATTTTTAATTTAAATTATTAACGCCGTCTGAGAGTAACTTCGTGACTTAAAAACATATAATAAATGCAGATTACTATTTCATGCAAACTAGTATTTATCTATATCTAACTTGTACTAGCAACCCACCCTATCCAACCCTCAATATTTTCACTTCAGAATGACTATTAATTTCTAAAATATTATAAATAATGTACAATACATTCGATACAATATATTCGAATCATACAGAATATAATGTTATTAAGTTCCCTCACCTATCTGATCTTCACGCTGAAACCTATGCAATCGATGCCTTGCCTTGAGCTCGAGTTCCGAGCCAGGAAGCCGTCGATGCGTGAAGTCGAGAAGTCTACTGAGCAAAGGATGATTCGGCGGCGACTTCCAGTCGCCGGGATAGGCGTCCAGCCAGACATGAAGAGCTTGAACCAAAGTCTTTCGATGCTGTTCACCTGTCAGGGCACCGGATCCTTCGTCGAGGGCGTCGTACCTCGCCAACAATAGCTCCAGCACTTCTCGCGGCGTGGTAAATGCACGATACGTCGCCAAGAAAACATTGATGTACGTCGACTCGAGTTCCCCGTCGTCGTTCGCCAGGCTCTCCACCAGCCGTTGCACGGTACCCGCTTTCAGAAAACGTACTCTCACCGTCTCCCATTCTAAATGCGAGATCTCGTCGTCTGAGTCCTGTGAAAAAAGCGGTTTGAGAATTTCACGTCTGAAGAGAGAGAGAGAGAGAGAGAGAGAGAGAGAGAGAGAGATTGAAAAGTTCGGAAACTTGCAATTGAAGTTTCTGACGCTTGACGAGAATTGAAACGACCTCGAAGAATCTTCTCAATTGATTTTACAATTTTTTCAAATTTCATATAACATCAATTTTAGGATTAAACTTTATTGTAACAATTTTTATGATAAAAAATTTTTCTTTAAATTGTGATCATATTAATTTATTTTCACGATCAATTATTGTAATTTTATTCATTTTATCTTTACCAGTATTAGCAGGAGCAATTACAATATTATTACTTGATCGTAATTTTAATACATCTTTTTTTGACCCAATAGGAGATGGAGATTCAATTTTATATCACATAACATTTATTTTGGTTTTTTGAACACCCAGAAGTTTACCAGGATTTGGATTAATGTCACAAATTATTATAAATGAAAAAGGAAAAAAAAATTTTAATATTAGGAATTGGATATTTAGGATTTATTGTTTGAGCTCATCATATATTTATTGTAGGATAAGATATTGATACACGTGCATATTTTACATCAGCAACAATAATTATTGCAATTATTATTCCTACAGAAATTAAAGTTTTTAGACGATTAGCTACATATCACGGATCAAAATTAATTTTTAATATTTCATTTTTATGATCAATTGGATTTATTTTAATATTTACAATTGGAGGATTAACATTAAGAAAAGTCTTGAAAACCCGAGAGTTTGAAAGATTGGAAATTAAAGGGCGCGAGATTGAAAGCTTCAGAAACTAGAGAGTTCGGTAATTGAAAGTTCCAGTAGCTGGAAAGTTCAAAAAATCGAGTGTTTACGATGTAAAATTGAGAAATTAAAGAAATGAAAATTTCAAAACTAAGCTATTTCTTGATTCGGGAGCTTCGAGAAATGTGAAATTAATAAGTTCGAGGTATCGCAAAATTGGCAAATTAAAGTGTTTGTAAATTCAAAAATTGAAGAGCTTGAAAAACTGATTTGGAAATCAAGTAACTTAAATATTGAAAAGTATTCTCTTCGAAAGTTTCAAAGTAAATGTAAGAATGGAAAAAAAAAAAAAAAGAAATACTCACCGATGCAGAAAGGCTCCTGGTCGGCCTGTGATATCGGACCTTCTTCAGGTACACCGTGTATATGACGCCGTCGCCCCTTTCCTCGCCCCATAAACGCCACGTGGGCTGCAAAAGTGGAAGCGAATGGCGAAAATTAAGACAAAAGGAAAAGTCCAGATATTCGGTGGCTGAAATCGGTAGGCGGTGACAGGGAAATACACGACAAAACCACACGAGGCGAAAGCACCGCACCGAGGGATGATTTATGCTGCTAATTTTACCAGCTACCACCTGTCATGCGCAACCATTTCTCAAATAGGGACGAGCTAATCAATGGACGTCGTGCACTCGGCAGATTTATTGAAATAATTGACTTCCAGCTTGAAATTGACCTCGCTCGTCCATTTTACGGCTTGAATCGCGAATTAACCGGATGAAACGCTTTATCCTCGCGATCTAACCATCGCGTCTCTATCTCTCTCTCTCTTCCTTTCTCTCTTCTAACCTCGTTGTTTCAAATTACAAAAGATCTACAGAGATTACGAGAGATCTTCTCTCATTTTTACACGAGAGTACGAAACTGAGCTAATTTACGAAGCTGCAACATGAATCTTGAGGTGCAAGAATGCGCACGTAATGTATCATGTAAAATACAATGCCTGTTATAATATTTAATATTGGCCTCTGTCTGGGTACCGTTGTTCTAGATTACGTTCAAGAAACTATGAATCTGCATAAGAATCTGCAGTCTAATTATAATATTTACATACGTATTCATGAATTCGTATCAAATGTACAATACTTAAGATTCATCTCGTAAGATTCATCACAACCAGGTATGTGGCAATCGTGAGAATCAAAAAGGCATTGAATTCTTACGAGAACCTTGTATAAATTTCATCAAGACGAGATTCGATGCTGAAGATGAGAAAGCAATGTTAAGAGAGTGAAAATGAAAAGAAATACGAAGCAGGTGAATCAAGAATTCGTTGAGATGGGATCTCGTTCGAGTTCTCGCTCGCCAGGTGCTGACTGCATCGACCAATTAAGTCGACCAAAACCATCGTTCGAGTTCTTTCTTGAATTTCTTACTGACGCAGGTACACGGATTTCACCGGCTCTAAATTTTCGATTGTTGAAATTTCGATCGACGTAGTGCTTTACGAAGTGAAAGACTTCATTTAAATATCCTTCTTGACGATTCGACTACAGAGCAAATAAAGTCTTTCGATTCGTTTGAAAATAAAGCATGCCAAGATTGAACAAACGTGCATTAAATCAAACTGCCAGAGGCCAGTTACTCTTTATTTATTACTTACTTGTACAATAAAATATCTATCCCAAGAAAATTTACTAATAATCGAGACGAATAATGTGATATTAAATACAAATTCATTTCGTCCAAAATCGAATAAAAATACTTGAGATAAATACCGAAAAAAAAAAAAAGAAATTCTGCTGTTAGTATTTCTATCTGTTAAATAGCCTCCCGTAGATTTATTTCATCGCGCGAACCCCTTCCACCTATTTTCAGCCAGCTGTTCGAAAATTCTCAAGCAATGGCACGGTAATTACGAGAGGTTATAAACGAGCGGCTCTGATTTTTAACAGCGGTGCAGGCTGGAAAACCAGCCGGAACCCTTGTTTCCTCTTCCCGACGCGGAGAGACCCCGTACGAACAAAAGGAAACGTAGCAGAAACGCGACCACGGGGGAGCAGAGCCCCATGCAAACGCGAATAGATTTCACGACAAATAAACACGCCACGTTCTGTCTGCGCGACTCACTTCCGGGGACCATCGCGAAACGATGAACACGGAACGATGGCAAGTCGTAGCTAGATCCTTATCCGGGTGTTTTCCTCGCGATCCAGCTACCGTAAATTACGCACAGAGGAGTAAGGGAGGCTCGATTCTTAATTGGTGTTTAAGGGGCTTTAATTGCGGACGTGTGCCCGCTCGCAGGTTCAGTAATTTCCATAAGTCGAGACAGTTATTTACGACGAAAAGGAAGTGCAATGATTTCCGATGAATTCTTCTCTCTGTCTTTCTTGTTGCATACGTTTGTTTGTGGTTGTTCGCAACTGTTGGGAATTTTAGATTTTCGTGTTTACGTGTAGGTGTAACAAGCGAGAAATATAGAAAATATACAAATTAATTTGCATACACATCCGGCGCAGTCTGGTTTCATTCGTGGGTTTAAAAGCCTTGTTTACACTGGTCAACGTTACATGCGTGAACACAGACAAGAATTCAAGCAGGTTGATTTTGAGTAGTTACGTTGGTAATAAATTAAATTAACTATTTCCCTGTACTTTGTCATACACGTCAGTTCATCATGTTTGAGCGTTTCATAATCATTATTCATAATATCTAACATGTTGTAAGGAGGAAATTAAATGTGTATGAAATTATGATTATAATTGTAGAATTAACGTCATAATTAATATTTCTTATTAACATTTCACAAACATTTGGATATTAACTTAAAACTTGGAGGATATGATCAAAAGCCCAAGTTAAAAAGAATCAGAGGGACAATTTTCACGAATCGATAATATCGCATCAGAAACTCGATTGCTATTGACATATGTATGTAGTTCTTCCCGCCGTATTTTTATCTGTACTCGTGTGTTCCAAAGAAGTCGCGCAATCCTCCAAAAGTCAGAAGTTCCAAAGCGTACGAACTTTATACCCGATCGAAACCATTTGATCCTCGAGAACACTAGGATTCCCAAGTATTCGAAGCCTCACGATCCTCTGTGACTGGAGTTTCTCCTCGCGATTGACCGAATTCAGGAGGATTTACGAACTTGAAAATATCTCGAGTATGAAACCACTGGAATTTCAAACGTTCGAAGAATCAATAACGAGGTATTTTATATTTCGTACAAGTCCCTTTGTCTATGCATGATTTATCGCTGAAAAAAGTCACATACTACGAAGCAAATTTTTCACGCCGTGACAATATAAGCAGAAATCATGCACAGTATGTTGTTCAATCGAATAATCTTAAATTTCAAAATATTCTGTTCTTGAGAAAAGTTATGAGATTCATATTAAAATAGATTATTATCGTTTTCTAAACAATAAATTTAAAAAACAGATTTACCAAAATATATCCGTAATTCTCGTTCCAACTTTAAGACACAGTTACTCCTCGTTTAAGCAAGTCAGAGTTGCGTTGCAGTCGCGTTAACTAATTTCCCAAACAAAGAAACTGAGATCTCGGAATCCGTCGGCAATTACATTCTCGGCAACAGCCACCAGGGAGTGATAAACTGATCTTCAAAGGAACAGAGACCACTAAAAATAGGATTCTCGGTTCAACACGTTTCGCAGCACACGTTCGCTGTTTTATTCGCAGTTAGGAACATCATCCCAGAGTTATCCGCTGCCTTCGTCGGATAACGCACCTGCAAACTAACAAGAGAATCGCAATATCCTCTCGAGAGGAATATACCGGCGAACGAGATCTTGCTTCCCTTTCTATCTCTACGTACCACCTCCTCGACGTCTTTCGCGTCTCTCTCTCTCCCCCTCTTGTGGAGTCGCGTATAGAACAAGTCGCAAAAAGAACAAACCGTGTCATTGCCATTTCTGCCCGTAATATGCAACATTTACTAACTTACTACACCGATACTATGTACCGGCACATGCATGCACGATGCATAACAGTTACTCGATCGATGGAACTACGAAAGGAAAGCGTTTCTGCATAAAAAATGAAAGTAGTGCTGCGCTACTGTTGCCTGTCGATTGCTAATTATACGCGGAGGCTTCTGTCGTAGACGAATGATGAAAAGAATACGGGTAGAGTTTATGAAAATTTGAAGAATCTAATTTCTGCATTTTCTGCGGCCAGTCATTTCTCTATTTTCTATTTTTTTTTCTTCATCTTTATATTTTTATTATATTTATTATATTTACTATATATTATATTTTTATTATATTTATTATATTTATTATATTTATTATATATTATATTTTTATTATATTTATTATATTTATTATATATTATATTTTTATTATATTTATTATATTTATATGGTTCTTGTATTCCTTTTCTTACCTTTATCTTTATATTTATATGATTCTTACATTTCTTATATTTTATATTCTACATTCTTATGTTTTCATATCCTATAATCTTATATTTCCATTTTTTTATCTTTTCATGTCCACATTTTTATTTCTCTATTCCCTATTCAGGGAAAAATTCTTCGAAAAATTATCTTCGTTCACATTTAGCGTAATAACAACTACCATTTGGTTTCTCTTCGATACGTTTCTTCACTGTCGAGTGAATCAATTTTCTGCAACTGAAGAAGCTAAATAATTCCCAAAACATGGTATTTAGGTCCCCGAGCTCTTCCAAAACTTATACTCCAGCGTCAATTAAAGACCTGAACGCAAATACTTTTCCAAGACACGGGAATCCAGCTGGATGACAAAATGCTCTCCTGATACCAGTAAAGAATGACGATAGAAACGGCGGGCCGCAATTGGTCACGGTTCCGAAGAAAACTGGCTGGCGTTTCTCGATGATGACGAGTATTGTTGCAGAACCTAGCCAGAAGTAAACTCCGGTGGAAAAAGGCGGCTTACTCTCCGGAACGAACTGGCAATTAGAGGCCTACAGTGAGAACCCGAGCGTGACTTAAGGTCCTTATACCCCCGCGTCCTTGGAGACGTGGCTCCTTCGAACACGTCAACTCTCCATTGTTTGTCAAAGAATTCCATCGCGTAGAAACCTCCTGCCTCTGTGTCGAATCCGAAGACATCAATCATTTCGGTGCAACTACCGTTCAACAATCGTAAAAAATATGTTTCATTGTTGCTTTTCCTTGTGATTTCCAAATGATCATATGGCTTGGATGCTTTGGCAAGACTAGCAATGCTCAAAAATTTGGAGCCATCTTTTCACTTCTTGAACGAAACATTTTTTCTGAGGGACAAGACTATCGCAATTGTAAGTTTGATTTTTAAACATGTAAATCATAAGTCGCATTAAATATTTAATGCAATTAAATTGCAGTATAAGCGATATATTTATTCGTTAGAACAAGTTGTTACGTTTATTTTTCTTCACTTTTAAGATATTCGAGTCACTGAATTTTGAGCTTTT